AAAAAAAAATTAAAAAAAAATTAATGCTCCCTGCATTTCAGTCAACTTACCATTATCCTCATGAATGTGATGGTAGTAGTGGTGGTGATGGTTGTGGTGGTCATGGTCATGATAGTGATGATCATTGTGGTGGTGGTGGTGGTGGTGAGAATCTATGGACTTGGAGTGGCAGGCAATGATCATTGTATTGACCAAAACCAAAAAATTAACTTAATATTGAAAAGATAAGATTGAATTCAATGAAAAAATCATAAGGTTTAATTTGAATTAGGTGTTACATTTGTTTAAGTATTAAGTTTAATTTGGATTAGGTGCTAAATTTGCTTTAGTATTAAGTTTAATTTGATTTTGTTGTTAAATTTATTTCATTAGCATCTGAATTGTAATTTAGTTCACTTTGAGTTTTTTTTCAAACTTAGAACGAGGGATATTGTTGCCATTTTTTAACTTTTGTTAATGACATCTATTACTTGACGGCATTTGGGGTCTCAGTGTAATTTTGAAATGTGAGATAGTGTCCATGTAATAAAACCAAATATCAAAGGGTGTGAATGTAATTTATCCAAACCTTTTTGCTGTATGTGAACAGTCTTTGCACAAATCGCTAAGTTTTTAGCTAAAACATTATTTGGACTAATGTTTTTAGTTGTAAATGGGTTACAGTCTTGCACAAAAAAGTCAGTTGGTCTGACGTTTTTATGCTAAAAAATATTACTCCAACTAACATATTTTGTACAAAAACGTCATTCTTACTAACGTTTTTAAAAATGCCTGAATTTGGGAAATGCTTTCAAACCAACCCTTTTAAGGTATTTTTTTTAACAGTAATACTACGCTAACTAAATTTTGGAACCAAAATAAAAGTCCCAATGATATAATCAGCTGCTTTGGAAGTCTTTATTTGGTATCATGTCATTTGAGACCCAATAAAGATTCAAAATAATATGCTGCTATATCATTTGAACTCTTAATTTAATTTTAAAATTTAATCAGCGTAGCATTACTATTTTTTTAAATATCTCCTAGATTGGGGTAAAAACTCTTAATAATCTCCCACCCAATCATGTGATTAGTATTAAGACAATGTACCCACATCTTGTTCAAATCTTAATCCAAACACATATAATTGAGATATGAAAAACGACAAATTAATTATTATGGTGGATATGAATTGAATTAAAATCAATTTAGTTTTACTTAAAAACTTGGATTGATTAATATCTCGTGCTATAACTTGCAAGTGTTACGTTTATAAAAAATAACTTTTATAATAAATTTTACTTGTAAAGCACGTCACGAAAATGTAGAAAGAATTCTATTTAAAGACTCTTATCACTATTATTACATAAGAAAAAATCAAGCTCTCGATCAAAATGGGCTTGCTTCTTTTTATTCTAGCTCTCTCTATATTTCTCTTTTTTGTTCTTTCTAAGTGGAGAAAAAGTGGACAAAAGCTTCTTCCAACGGGTCCTCCGGGACTACCCTTTCTCGGAAACTTACACCAGATCGATAACTCGACCATTCACAAATACCTATGGCAACTTTCTAGAAAGTACGGCCCACTCATGTCGTTGAGGCTTGGTTTTGTGCCAACCCTTGTGGTTTCTTCGGCACGGCTAACAAAAGAGGTTATGAAAACCCATGACCTCACATTTTGTAGCAGGCCTAGGCTGGTTGGCCAGCAGAAGCTGTCTTATAATGGCTCAGATGTGGCTTTTTCACCCTATAATGATCATTGGAGGGAGATGAAAAAGATTTGTATTCTTAATCTTTTCAGTGCCAAAAGAGTGCAATCCTTTCGTCCGATACGTGAAGATGAAATTTGCCGAATGGTCAATAAAATATCTCAACAAGCTTCTTTATCCAAGCTCACAAATCTGAGCGAAATAGCATTATCTCTCACAAACAATGTTATCTGTAGAGTTGCTTTTGGTAAAAAATATGATGATGAAGGATATGAGAGAAGTAGATACCATGATTTACTTAACGAAACTCAAGCCATGTTGGGAGGATTCTTTATCTCAGACTATTTTCCATTGTTTTCCTGGGTTGATAAGCTCACTGGGTTACGTTCTCGTTTAGAGAAGAATTTTCATCAAATGAATATGTTCTACCAAGAACTGATTGACGACCACCTAGGTCCAAACAGGCAAAAATCCATACAAGAAGACTTCATCGACATCTTGTTACAACTGAAAGAGGATCAATCAGATTCCATGGATATCCCATTAGACCATATTAAAGCCGTGCTCATGGTTATAAATATCATACAGTTTTTGCTTTTAACTAGAGCTCGCATAGTCCTACTCTTATAACTGTTTCTCTTTATAAAAGTTTTCTCAAATATTTTCTTTTGTTTACCTTTTCTATGCCAGAATATAATAACCGGTGGAACAGACACGGGTGCAGCCACAATTGTTTGGGCCATGATGGGCTTAATGAAAAACCCTATAGTGATGCAGAAAGTGCAAGAAGAAATCAGGAAGTCCCTTGCAGGGAAAGCTAAAGTAGACGAAGATGATCTTCAAAAGCTTCCTTATCTCAAGGCAGTGGTAAAGGAGGCAATGAGATTATACCCACCCGTTCCTATAATTCCGAGAGAAGCTACTCAAACATGCATTATAGATGCGTATGAAATCCAACCTCAAACTCTAGTTTACGTGAATTTGTGGGCTGTTGGAAGGGATACTGAATCTTGGGAAAACCCTGAGGAGTTCTTGCCTGAAAGATTCTTGGGCAGTAATATTGACTTCAAAGGACAAGATTTTGAGCTAGTTCCTTTTGGAGCTGGCCGAAGAAGCTGTCCTGCAGTATACATGGGATCTGTCCTGGTAGAGCACGCACTTGCTAATTTACTGTACTCATTCGACTGGGAACTACCTGTTGGGATGGAGAAGGAAGACATAGACACTGATGTGATGCCCGGTCTAGTAATGCACAAGAAAAATGCCCTTTCCCTTCTCGCTAAACATTATGACGGCCACGTGTGACTACTAAGGGTCATTGTTCAAATAAGTAGTTCTTTGCTATGAAAATACAAAAGAAAAGTGAGTCTTCTACGTGTTCTTAGTTTGCTAAAATAAGGCAAAGTATCTGTTGTGAGATTATGTATTCTTATAAGAGCAATGTTATCTACTGTGAGATTTAAGATGGTTTGTGATTGTGGAGGGTGAACAAAATAGATTTTGTGTGTAAATTCATGCTAATCATCCTGCGTATATGAGATATCATGTTATGAATTGCAGTTTTGCTAAGTGATTATATTTTACTATAAAATTTATTGTTTTGTTCCATAAACTTAGGATCTTTATTAAATATCACTCTTTTACTATAAAACCATATATGCTATTTTATAACTGAGATTTATCTATTTTTTTAACTTGTAAACCTTGTTTGGGTTTGACAGCCCATGTAATTGTTGTAATGTGTATTAGATTATCATGTATGACATACGTAAATATGACTAAAGAATAGGTAATATGAGTGTCGTTAAAAGTTTGGAAGTCTTTTGAATATTATAGGCATGTTGGAGAGAATTTAGAGAGAAAATAATTAGATATTGCCTTAATATTCGAATTATAACTTTTTATCTTGACATTAGATTGATTTGATTATTGGATAGTAAGAACTAAACTTCAAGAGCTACAAATGTGTATCTAATAAATATTTTATGGATCGACTTCTAACTAGGTCAAAATTGTATTACATGTTTCAACAAAAATTAGTGTGACGCTCGAATATAGGCTAGCCACAGTATTTTGTTTCTGATAGAAAGAATTGACAAATAAGAGATGCTGGGAGTAGAGTATGTTGGAACACAAGTTACTTTCGAACGAGGCACGTTTGAATGTAAGTGCGCGTTTAGCAGCAATCAGACTGGGACCGACTGAACAGTTTCTAACCCTATAAATACCCTAAGGACATTCCATAGGTCAGTTTGAAACCCTAGAAGGCTTAGGAGAGTTAGGAAAAATGAAAAATGGGGAGATTTGGAAAGATTAATGTATAAGGAATGCCACAAATGTGCTTGGTTTTCATTAAACAATAGATTCGTGTAGGTTTTCTTTCTTAAATTCATACATTGAGATAATAATTATATAATTATACATTTTTCATCTTTACTACAATATAAATAATAGATCCATAACGTTTTCTCATTGGTTGTATACTACGATTCGTTTATTAAACAGAATACTTGTTTTGTATTAAAGATTTATTCATTCTTGAAGCAAAATCCTAGTTCTTGATTTACAATCCTATCTATGTGATATATTTATAAATTTTTTACATTCCTTTTTAATATGTGTTACAATTTGTGAATAAACCTATGATTTATATACAATTATATGTTTTACATCCAAAAAGTATTTATTCTTGATTAAAACCCTTGATTTTGAATATTGTGGACATGAAGGTTTCTTGTTACGTTCTTTTACATGTTTTACTCCGATTATGCGTCAATTGATGGAGTCCAGAAAAGTCCAAAAGTTAAACACACAACAACGTGATTGGACCACATCATTAGATCAACAATTTAACTCAATTTTCTGGGCTTCATTAGCATTAATCTTCTAATAAATAATCGTAACTATCATGTTAACTCTAGTAGTGAAGATGGTGCTCAATAGCTCCATATCACTGATGCCGTCGAAAATTCAAAAAAAAAAAAAAACAAAGTAGCAAACTCACAAACCATTCGATGAATGCTAAAATTTCATTTTTCATATGATCAGAAATGGATAAAACATATTGACTAATGCCACATGGACCTAATTATATGAGCTAGTTGAAGAACAATGTGAAAAATTCAATAGTTCAAGGGACAAAGTGAAGAGAAGTTCACAGTTGAGTAGGTCAAAGTATAATTTATCCTTGGCTTTGATACTATTTTGTTAGAATTAAAAGGCAAAAAGATAATTGAACTAAAGGAGGCGATTGATCAATCAAATTAAAACATAAGTTTTTATTCAAGTGGATTACAAACTACAGACACTCACATTTAACTTGGGTTTTTCATTGAACTCAACTCAGTTTATCACTAACAGTACTCTATATATCCTATATATATAGGTCTCAAACTGCCACTATCTCAATTAACTATTGTAACCACTAAAACATTAAGACACTGTTACTTTTCCCTACCTTCGAGAATTTACGTAGCACTGTTTCTCACCTTCCACTACTTGAATCTTGATTACTTACTAACACATATTTTCTTCTACTAACATTTGTCATTACTTCATATTTTTAACAGGTCATTGATTCAACTGTTGGGTTAATAAGCTGGACTGGTCAATTTCAAGGCTGAGCTCTATTCGAAATATGGATTTTACCTGAATCATAGGGAGGTGCCTAAAATTAAGAAAATTTAGGCGCTATAAATAAGCATGATCCACTGCTCTAAATAATGGGTGATTGGGAGATCGTCTGGAGAGATTCCAGTGATCCCCAACCAATATTCAAGAATGAAGAATGATGAGGGATGTACCACCTTATTTTATCATTAACGAGAACCCTATAAGAAGATATAGTCCTATTTAAAGGACTAAGGATGCACAGTAAAAGGTACATGACTTGATCCAAAATGTGTACATTCAAGTGCAGGCGGTCAAGTTGTAGTAATAATTCGGTTAAGTCTGGAGTCGAATCCACAGGGAACTATGATTAGTGTTTTGAAGTAAGGAGTGATAGAGATCAAGTAATTGAAAACCTTGAGAGTTTGAAGTTGTGGGATTTACTGAATAGAATATAAGATTCTTTCCAAGAGTTTTCTAGACAAAATATAAGATAAATTCAAATGTAAAACAATCACTCTTTAGCTTGAGGATCAGAATATGTAAGTAATCATCCAGTTTGTTATGCTTGTGCTTTATAACTCAATTAACTCCCATATCAACAACAAGTTAGTCGAAAGATAAAGATGAACTATGTGAATTAAGCACATAGTTCCGATGCCTTCCTAGAAGTTTAAAAGAATTGTCTATACCGAGGCTCAACCCACCTATAAACAAGCAAGTGTTTCTACAAGGCATTCAACCATGACATTATTGTTCCATTATTTAGATAAAACACAATAATGGTAAAGATTGAAATGTTGTCATGAAGATCTAGCCGAGGTACTTGCCTTGAACCAACGGGTCTTTTCATGCAAGAGTCATCCGTGACATAGAAAGTACCTATGGTTATACAAAGTACATTAATTTTACTAGATGCATTCAATCATTCAATAAGTGAAATATAAAACATTAAAGCATAAAAGAAATGCACAAATATAATTTATGGATAATCAATACATGTTCATTACCTCTTACTAAAGGGTGAATGAGGAACTACTCACTCTTCATGGCTTGGATAAAGCTAGAAAAGTGAGTGATACTCATCCCTCCAAGTAGAGGAGTTAAAAAATGAAAGTACAATAAACAAGGAGCCAATCTTCAACAAAGAATGAGTGAATCACGTTCCACTCTTCATGGCTTTGGTAAAACTCTAGAAAAGCGAAAGAGTTTCACTCTTCTACAAAAGAAGAAAGCTCAAGCAATGGAAGTGAAATAAAAGAAAAATAAAGGTAAAAGAAAGCTAGTCACATTTGGAGGGTGGTTCCTCAACCAAGAAATGGAGGGTTGCTTCCTCAACCAAAAGATGAACTATCTCCCTTGACACAAGCAAATATAAATCTAGCTATATGAGTGGGAGTCTAAACCTCCATCTAGCTCTTGACTAGTTCTTGGTGTAGTCTAAGACTTACAAACCAAATTCTAGTCTTCCACAAGAACATCCTCTTTTGAAGATCTCACAATGGGAGTATTTATAGGCAAGGAGTAGGGGGTTGGTGAAAGAATAGTGTATGCCGCCCAAGTCCAAGTGATAGCCAACCACTCTGCAGTCTGTCTGTGGAGAACGTTCGAACATGAGTTGGCATTCGAACGTTGTATGTGTTTTTGCTTTATGGACGTTCGAACGTTGTATGGTGTTCGAACGTTTCTTCTGTCTTTACTTTATAGGCATTTGAAAGCTAGATGGGGTTTGACCCTCTCACTCAAGTGACCTGTGGTCTTCTGTGGAAACCTATTTCCACACTCTATATAGAACTTGGCACTTTCACTTATCACCTGGTCTTCAATCAATTCAAGTGGATGTTCGAACGTGAGTTGGCGTTCGAATGTGGTACTTAAGTACTTCAAGGTCTTCCTTCTTGGCCGCAACATGCTATGTCTTAGCAATCTGGTCTTTTTATAGTTCAAGTGGACGTTCGAAC